GGAGATGAAAGATACAGAATTATTTATATTTTCGTGTAGAGTGCAATAAAATTTAGATAGCTTTAGATAAAAAAAAAAAATGTGATTGCTTAGATAAAGGTGATTAAATGATATAATGATATCTTTGCTCTTTTCTTCAGACGTGTACATTGGAGATGTTCTCTTTTGAAGTGAGATATTTCGTTATTATTTAATATTTTTAATACGAGGAAAAAAATTAGATCGTATTTTCTGTTACATTATAAATAGATCGATGCATTATACAATCGTATGTTGCACAATAATGGGAACCTTGAACGAAGCTGGGATAACTACCACTGGACACTAAAACGTCGAAATGTGATCGTTCGATATATTCAGTGATATTCAAGGATTTTCATGTTCAAGATTGCGATATTTTAACTTCAAAATATGTTTCATTTATCATAATGATTTATGAAACGAATTGGATATAACTGGATGATATAAGTCGTAAATATTGTAATTTATTTAAACCAGTTAAACCAGTCAAAGTTACATTAACATAGATATACTTACTCTTATTTAATAGATTTTTTAAAATTGCATAATTTTTCTCGTAGCATAATTCCTTATCTTTCAAGATATCTATATTTTACTTATAATAACGAAACAAATATAATATCTCATCACGATAAATACAATATAATATATATATATATATTTCATAACCATTCTATATCTCAAAATGCCACGTTTTTTCCAAGACCAAAAGGGAACAGAATAAAATGATAAAAGATGGCGCGTCTATTCACCACTACACCGTTCGTTTCCCTAGCTAAAGGGTCCTTTCAGAAGCACGAATAACCATTCAATAGCAATAATCGTGGCGCCTCTGGTATCGTAGCGCTTATCGAGCTGGTAGAGCAACATTCCACGCTTGGGAATGACCGCACTCATTCCCTCGTGTGCTCTCCTGCGAAAGGATTCTGCGGGAAGGTGCAGTGCCTCTCTCGTCACGCTCGTGCGCTGCACATCGCTCGTCCACACAACAGTGAGCGTAAACACGCTCGCACACGCGCGCACAAATTTCACGTGAAGGTGAAAGAAACAGGAAACCATTTCGTTCACCTGTTCCTCGCTCGAGAGACGCCGAAAATCGAACCCCACGAAGCCTTGATTCGACCTTCTCCTCCTCTACACGAGACGCTAAAGGCTTCTCGACACTCCTCGACTGGCAGCATTCCACGATTTATGCTTCTTCTTTCACATTTTTCATCCTTTCGCTTGTTTTTATCTCGTCCCGTCTCTTTTTTCGATGACTTTTTCGTCGCGCTGTTGTATTCTGTAATTTCTTCTTCGCTTATAGATTTCTTTTTTATCTTGGATCGATAATCAGAGTGGTATTGTTTATCGGTAAGCAGTGAATACCGATAGAGTAATTAAGAAAAGTTGATCATAGTTTTGGAATTCTAGTTTTTTTTTGGAATTTCAACAATTTTCTAGGAATTTTTAGTGATTAGAAAAAAAAATTTATTGAATTTTGTTAAAGATTCGTGAATTTATGGATTCTAATAAATGTTGTCTATAGTTTATTAATGTATATACTATACATTAATATATTCGAGAAATATTACAGAATGTTTCTTTCCTTATAATTTTCCTTGAGTAGAACTGTCCTTGGGATTATAATGAAATATCATTCTCTTTAAATGAATCATTAAGAAAAAGAAATTCTTAATAAAGTTTCTTCTGGTTATTGTAAAGAAGTATTTAAAGCTTTTGCAGAATATTTTCACGGTTAATTAAACAAGTGAAAGAATAGACTCAAGGATAAATAGATACAGAATCAACTTGTTGAAGATTGAAATGTTTTATCTTTCTTTTTCAGTTGGAAATAAAATTATGAAATCTCGATCAAAATTCATTTCCATAAAAATTGTTTCAAGAAATGAAATTCCGTGTAAGGAAAGAATTAGTTTTTCTCTGAATGCGGATGTTTCACATAACAAACGAACGTAACTTTACGATCATGGATCACGCAAATTCTGTTCAACAAACAATGTAAATTATGTAGTTTTTAAAACTTATAAATTACACTATGCATTCTAAAGTAATTAAAATTCATCTTACGTAAATTACGATAAGAAAAATCTTACGGTATCACATATCGTGTTATATAGTAATTTACAATGTGACACGATTCAATCCTTAACATTTTATCTCTTTTAACAATATTCAATATTATACATAGAAATCTTTATTTGTAAGAATACTAATAAAAATTTCTATCGGTTATTTGTATCTAAAAAATATTCAATTTAATTTATTTCAAATAATCACTTTAAATAAATTTTAATATTATAATCGAAAATCTTTAGACAGGATCGATGGACAGTTTGTTATAACAAAGTGAAACACATTATACGATAAAATATTTAATTACAAATTCATATTGATATAAAATATAAATACATATAATATATATCACATTTTGTCAAAATAAATAATAATTCGATAAAGTAATAAATTATATTAAATATATAAATAATAAATAACAGAGAATTTAATATTCAGTCATATTCGAATTAAATAATTTTGTTCGTAATTATGTTTTCATGGTAAATTGATTAATATATTTTGACTATATGAAAATAACAAGTATGATAGGTTATGTATATTCACAATATTAAATAATAATTTGATAGATTCTCTGTAATATAAAATCATTTTATTTCATATTGTTTATGTGCTCATCATAATGATTCAATTAAAAAAAATTACGATTTTAAATCATCAAAATTGTCAAATATATAATAATAATTTAAAGATGCATTGATAAAAAAATTTTATTAATTATAAATTATGATACATTATTGTAACAAGTATATATAATACGATATATAATCTCGAGAAAATTATGTACGAAGAAAAATTAAATAGCCTCAAAATATAAATAATTATTTTAGATCAGTTCATCGATTATTTTCTTTAACAGATTATCGTGGGATAAAATGTTTTGATCTCGGTTAATCGTCGAGCATAACTCGTTTTTACGAATTGAAAAAAAAGCAATCGTGAATCTAAATCCATTTCATCAACGATCGTTACGACCGTTATATGTATGTTGCTGGCGTAATTCCGTTCAACTCGAGTAATATTGATGCAATGTGTCCCCATTAACAACCACTTTGTTTCAATGAAAGAGCTGAGCTTGCAATCCAAATATCTCGATTGCATTGGCGAAGCATCGAACTCTGGGAACAAGAGTGTGTCGACTCGATTTTATAATTCCTTGAAATTGATACTCGAGACGCGATCCTTGTGAGAATCCTATAGAGATAATTAAGAGAACCGTGAGATAATCCAATAATAAATTATACTTATTCGATACTGTTACAATTTTTTTCATTATATATGCGATTACAATATTACAATTATTGTAATTTTACAATTCAAAATAAATTGTATAAAAATATTTAATTTTCCCATCTTTAATTCTCTCTTCTTATCTATTGTTGACGATTTTTGAAATTGATATGAATATTTAATTTCGAGAAAAATATCTTTATTCAGTTATAAACATATTTTTTTGTATCATTGATATCGTATTGCCAATAGCGTGTAGAATGAGAAATAAGAAAATGAATTTCTTCTACATTTCTCTTCTATATCGAGAGAAGTCTACAATAATTCATGGAACAGTGGTTCTTGACTCTTTAGATTCAATACCTATCTACTTTCTCCAAAGCTTCCAACTATATAAATTTATATAAGTTTCTTGGCAATGTGCCAATAATGCTCTCTCGTATTCTTATTGATGATTAAACTTTACCGAGCACGTTACTATAAATTTTAATAGGAAAAATTCTCTTCAAATGAGAACTTTGTGTAACTTCTGAATATATTTCCACAATTGTAAATTTTTTCTTTTAATCATTTTTTTTTAGAAAAAAAAAATACTACTATTATTGTGACTGAAGAGAAGATAATTAAAATAATTATTATTACAATCATACAAATTATTATTGCATTAAAATATCTAATAAATAATTTAATAATATTAAATTATTTTTTTTTTATTCTATGAACATATTGTGATATTGCAAAATGCATTATTCGTTTAATTATTCGCTCGATTTGATTTAATTCATTTACGCAAATATATATATATATATAAATTCGTATCTCTGTTTTATACAAGTTGCGATAAAATTATACAGTTACAAAATGTTACAAACCACAATTATGGTACGATGCGAAATTTGCATGTGTGCCAGATTTAGGAGATGCAACGAGTCCAACGAGCTATTCCAGTTAATTGTCATTACACTACCGTTGACCCAATCTGACAATCTGCACAATTTGTCACAACCAGACAAGATTTTTATTACAATCGGTACAATATTACACCCAACCGCTTATTTTTAATCAATTTTAAAATACCTTGGACAGATCTCGGGGACTTAACAATCTCTATCCACGATGGAATGTATCGTTCTGTGTATCGTGAAAGTTAATCGAACGATGGAAAAGGTATATATGATTGGAAAAGAGACGAGAATTTCGAAATAAACCGACTGCCATTTGTCGTCATGCATAATCTTCGCTATGGATGGAATCTATTCGTTGCGAATCGATATAAACTTGTTTCAATCGTTAACATTTTAATATAGAATACTTTATTATTTTTTCTTATTTGTTGCGTTTAAAAAGAGATTAATTTTATTATTTTACCAAATCTGTTATATTACATTCCTTTTGTTTCCATGATTGGATAACACAATAATAAAAAGAAGGTAAAACGAAGATAAAGATTTGTAGCGATTGACAATCAAATCTAAGATCTGATCTAATTAATCGCTCTGTATTATCGACGATGGTAATCCAAGCGGATAGAAGATTTGCAATCGATATTATACATTTTATTTTCGGATCCATTATTATTAGATAAATCTTTTTTTTTTTTTTTTTAATTATCAATTGTTAATCAAAATTTGATAAAAAAATTATTCTAAATTATTAATTTTACTTAATTTCAGGTGAAAGGAATTTCTCGACTTAGGCTAGGATGTCACATCACAGCGACGACAACATGCTGATAGCAACCTCGGACTCCTTCTGGGAGCCGGGTAATTACAAACGAACGACCAAGAGGATCGAGGACGGGCACAAATTGTGCGACAGCTTGATAACTTTGGTCCAGGAAAGGGCGGAGATCGAGAAAAGTTACGCGAAAGCATTGAAGAATTGGTCGAAAAATTGGAACGACAAGATCGAGAAGGGGCCGGAATATGGAACCACCGAGGCTGCCTGGAAAGGTGTCCTCGTCGAGTCGGAAAGGCTGTGCGATCTTCATCTTAGGGTCAAGGAGAATCTCTGTAACGATATCATTCAGCAGGTGAAAACGTGGCAGAAGGAAACGTATCACAAAGTAAGCGCAATTTTTCCTTATGAATGTTGTCCATTACGATATTGGAATCAAACCTTTCTTATTTCAATCCTTCAATGAATTTTATATATATATATATATCTTTCCAGTCAGATCAAATTTCTAATCAAATTGAAATTAAACTGTCTTTTGACGATCAATTTTCCGGATAAAAAAAAAAGAAAAATTTCTTTTCCCACGTAGGTTCTCATAATTATCGTTAATATGTTGCACTGTTGGATCTGGTTCGATATTGCAGTCGATGATGACGCTGAAGGAACGGAAGGAGATGGAGGACGCGTTCAAGAAGGCGCAGAAACCGTGGGCGAAGCTTTTGCAAAAGGTGGAAAAAGCGAAGTCTGAGTATCACAACAGTTGCAAAACCGAAAGGACAGCGGCCAACATGGAAAGGAACGCATCGGCGGACAGTTCGCTTTCCCCTGACCAGGTAAGACCATGGTCCGTCCCTCTATGCCGTTGATCACACTGATCAACCGTTACATCATCCTTCGCTCATACGTTATCGACGATTAGCGCAATTGTTACGTTATTTAAGTCACAGTGCCTCGCTTTCAGAAGGTACTTTTTTTCATTGCCACATAATGTAACAACACGTAGACAATTCAATAATTTTAATACGGTTAATAATGGTTAGAGGATTGTTTTGTTGTATGGAACGTTATTTATCGATTAGGAAAACCTAACCTAAATCCACTTAAAGTTATTCGAGTTTTAGTTAATAAAGATTTATCGTGATTTTTATTTTATCGTATTTCGTGTAAATCAAAGTTTTTTTTTTTTTTTTTTTTTTCATTGCCATATAATGTAACAACACGTAATCAGTTTAATAATTTTGATACGCTTAATAATGATTAGAGGATTGTTTTGTTGCGCGGAACATTATTTATTATCGAAAACCTAACCTAACCTGACTTCGGTTAAAGTTTCACGTTATTCGAGTTTGTAAAGATTTATCGTGATTTTTATTCTATTGTTGCGTGTAGATCAAAGTTTTTTTTTCAAAGTTCTTACGTAACCTAACCTAACCTAATCCGTTTAAAAGTTTCACGTTACTGAAGTTTGCAAAGATTTATTATTTTATTATTGAGTATAGATCAAAGTTCTTATGCAAAGTATCGAAAAATTGTTCATTTAATGTTTCATTCACGTCAGAATCGAATGAAAAGAAAATTTTTTTTTCTTTTCTGTTATTACACGCAACCTCGATAATAAATTAAGTAATCTATCAAGTAATCTTGTGTAAAAAAAACATTTCTTTAATTAACATTCTTTCACGCTATGTTTAATCTTCCTTGATATTCTAAGTGAAAAAAATGAAGAATATTTTTATTTAAGGTATTTTTTTCCTAGCATAATGTAATCCTCCAACTATTTTCAGGAGCTATTTGAAAGAAGAAGGAAAAAAAAATAAATTTTAAATATTAAGACGGTATTTACAAACCGATATAAAATTATATAAAAAAAAAAAAAATTAAGCGCCTTCTAAAGCGAACAGTACTCTTGACAAAAAAACATACATACGCGTACGCGCACACATACATAATGATACCATATGTACATGTGTGTGTAATAACTCTTAAACATTAGTATGCATCACGATCACGCATTCGCGGCTCAATATAAAAGTAGATACTGTTGTTCTTTAGCAAGTATTATTTTCAGATGGCCCGAGGTTCTGAAAACGTATGTGAACAAAAATCTCGTGTTAATCTTTATCGAAAGTATTGCATGCATCCGTGTTGTTCTGTGTCCTCGATATTGATCATCGATATAACTAATACGTACATATGTCTCTTCCTGTTGTTACTAACTTACTGCTTCCAAATTTTCGTGAATGCCCGATTAATCATTTTCTGCACGTTTCGATTGTCGATTAATCCTTCATTCGTTATTCATCTGTGTATTAACTTCATAAACTTTTTAATACATTATAATAATAATTGTTGATTAATATATAACTTAAAAAAAAAACTTTCAATATGAGATTTATATGAAAAAAGAAAAAGGTAAAATTTATTTTACCTTTAATATATAAAATTGAAATCGTAGAATTTCGCACAGAATTATATATATATATATATATACTTTTATTTTCGATTTGCATTTTCACTTTTTATTATTTTTTCGAAGGCTTCGAAACCTGTTTTAAAATAGAAATAACGAGAAAAAGTATTATTATACGTCCCGGCATTCGAGAAATTCGATTAATCGCCATACGAGAGGCGATCTTCTGAAAAAAGGCTAACGACGTTTTTAGATGACAGTTTGTGGATGTGATGCATGGGCCCTCAGAATACGAAAAGCCTTTAGGAAATCTAAAATAGGAGACGTTCAGCTTGTATGTATAATAATACTGCATGCAGCATGTATCTTGATTAACATTTTCTCTCGTTTTTCATTACAGAAAGCTCTGCTGGTAAGCGAATTTTTATCTCACTCAAGCCTTTCCTTCGATAATTGTGGATAATTCATATCATGCAAACATCGGGCCCTTTAAACAGTAGTAGTTTTAATAATTGAAATGTAATTTTTTAAACAATTCGAAATGAGAAAAAAAAATAATAGTTTTTTTATAAAACATAATAAACATAAAAAAATGAAAACACTGTTAACAAAATTAAATATCATGTGGAATTAAAACGCAATACAATCAACTTTTCATATCTAATTCTGAAAGTTATCGTGCTCGATGATTGCTCGTTATTACTACCTAGAAATAAAGTGCAATGCTTTAATATATTTTTAATATAGAATTTCCTTTTATATGTCTCTATATCTCTATGTGCGTAATTCTAAATTCTTTTTAGAAACTAATGTATGCCAATTAATTGCTTAGCTAGTTAATTTGTAATTTGTAATTTCAAGAAACATATAACAATATCTTACAATATTTTTATACACAAATCTTACAAAATACAACATTATTACAATATATTTTATTACAGATTTTACAAAACATATTACAACACAATTAATAATAGAAAACAACTTCGTGTATTAAATTATTATTATTTTTTTATACATATAATTGTATCGCACGAGTCAATATTTGCTGTCGCAGCTTATAGAAATGTATCTATTAGAAATCACGCTTATTTTTTTTTTCAAACGTATGCCATCACGATATATATGCTAGGTAAAGCTTGAGGGTAAAGAATTGGGATTTTCATAAATAAAACATTATTCAGAACATCCAAATATTAAGACGATCATTTATGAAAACAATATAAAAATTACAAATATTTTTCCTTCGCTATTCCTTTCTAAACTCACCAATATGGTTGGGTATGCACCAAGATCTTTACCTTCAATGTAGTACGTGCGATTATTCGAATTTCAAACGTGAATATTCATTAAGTGCCTCTTTATTTAATTGGCAGGTGAGGAAAATGCAAGACAGGGTGCAGAAGACGAAGGAAGAAGTTCAAAAGGCGAAAGAAAAGTACGAAGCGGCGTTGCAGGAGATTAATCAGTACAATCCTAAATACATGGAGGATATGACTCAGGTGTTCGAAAAGTGTCAAGAGATGGAGGCGCAGCGGTTACAGTTCTTCAAAGAGGTCCTATTTGGCATTCATAAATGCCTCAATATATCTCAGGATCCGATGTAAGTGTGTGTAATATTATCAATACATAATTTCATTGTGTATATAATATGAGAAAACTAGAGTAAAGATTTTTTTTATTCTGGTGCTCTTATTATCTATTAACTGTATAATTTTTTCAGCATTCAGTTTATGAATATTTAATTATGAATTAATGAATTAATTTTAATCCTTATAAATGTCACTAATACATATCTTATATTTAATATGGATAAGTAGAATATTGATTTTTTATCTGGTATACCTTTAACCTTTCAAAAAAAAAATCTATTTATAGAGGATTAAATACTTGTTTCTCTCAGATTGATTGATCTGTTAGATCTGTATAATTTTATGGTCACAAGTTGCATTTATATAGATTATATTTAATAAACAAAAAAAAAAAATGCAGCATATAATAATAATAATTCTTTGAATCTCAGATTTTTGAAAGATTGAAATGAAAACTGGATATTAAAAAGATATTAAAAAATGAATGAATCTATATCATTAAAAAAGTATTTAAAACAAATTTTATTTGTCGCCATTTATAGATTACCACAAATATACGAAGAATTCTATCACACAATTAATAACGCGGATCATGAGAAAGATCTGAAATGGTGGTCGAACAACCATGGTGTAAATATGGCAATGAACTGGCCACAATTCGAGGTAAGATGATAAAATACAAATTTACGTCTTGTAACCATTCTTTTTTTTTTTTTTTTTTTTATCGCATGTAAACTCTTGCTCATAGTTGAGATCTAATGTTAGAAAGTATAGTCGTAGCGTGTATTGAAAATATTATGTATTCTTGTTCCTCTCTTTTTATAACTGCATTAATATCGTTCCTTTTTTATACTCTGTATATGTCTCGATATCCTTTGGTATTCTATTCGAAATAACTGCGTTATAAGCAACGATACTGGGTCGTTTAAGGGTTTTAAAATATAAGTCGATTGAATTTCTATTAATTATACATATATTATAGATTAAAATTTCCTACTCCACACGTATTAATTACGTAACTAAATGTACAATCTTTTCTGTATCAATCTTAACAAGAAATTTTACAAATTTAACAATGTAATCCCGAAATTCTCATTATCCAATATACATAGAATAATTTTATTGAACATACGTATCCGTCTCTCCTGTTAACAATGTATCCCAATGATACAATATTGAATTCCTGTCAAAGTTTTGAAAAAAAAAAAAAAAAAAATAGAAAAATGTATAACCCCTATGACGATCGAACAATTTTCCGGAATGCATGCATGTGATTGTCTATTTTTTTTCTTTTTTTTTGGGCGTTGCTATTACGCAGGACTACACAGAGGAGTTCCGTGACATCGCCAAAGGCTCGAAGTCAAAGGAGGCACTTCCGGCTGGCTCCATCACGCTCATCAATCAACGTCCGGTCGGCGAAGATGTGCATGTAAAGTTTTGTTATGTTTTACACTACCAATTCGCGCCTTTCGTTTATACCACCTGCCCAGATATGAGCGAAGATTCATGCACACACATATAAGCACATATGCGCATAAAAAAGGAAATCGAGCTTTTTTTTTTTACCGATCACGAAATAATGTCGAAACTGGTAAACACGACGAGGTCACCGAGGATGGGTTTCCTTTTTCAGCTTCTGGTTCGCCTAACTTAACTGAATTAACCGTAACCCGCTATGCGCTTGTTCTTGCACGTAATCGCAGATCTATATCACGGATACACGCCAAGCATGTTTCCATCATTCGATGCTGGAGCGAATTTGCGATGAATTGAGTCAATTAAATGTGAAACTGTTTCAATTAATCTTTTTTTAATTAATTAAGATTACGAAAAAAATTTGGTAAATGTTCCTTGATACAGAAAAATTGATTATGTAACGGAATCTGTTTAAAATTTATAAATATTAAACTTTTCAAATTTGTTTCGTTAATTATTAATATTCAAATGTTTGAAAATATTTAACAATGCAATAGGTAATCAGAAGATCGTTTTTATCTATTTATAATATAATCAACATGCCAATGACGCGAATTGAACGTGCGTCGATATAGATTATGCAGACGATTGTGAATGAATAAGATTAGCAAATTGGTACTGCATGTCAAAATAAAGAGAAATCGTATCTTTTCAAAAAGATCTCGAGAAAACATCAGATATTTAAAATTTGATGACTACATAATGATATTTTCTGCATCGTGTAATTTTTGCCGAATAAATTCATTTTTTATTATTATTTTTTATTACACATTTTTATTACACGTTATTAGGCGATACATCTGTTAAAATAATATGTTAAGTAGTATTTCAAATCTAAACTGTAAATTCGCTCTATATTTGCTTGTATGCTTAGCAAACATGACTGTTAGCATTGTGTCTCATTATCCTTTGATAATTGTTTATTATTAAATGGCATCGAAGCATAAGGCAAACATGTTTGCAACCAGAAATCGTCTGCACAATTAATTTGTACAATACAATTACCATAATGCCCATAACTATAAATTATATCTTTTCATTGTAATAATGAATATATTGTTACATTCTCATTGTCGCATAATATATGAAACAGTTAGGAAATCAATATTCATGAAAGCAACATCTTAAAAATGATAATAACAGGCAAGCAGATATGTGAAGCATCATAATTTTAATTCATTTTGTATACTCATTTTCGTTTCAATATGAATCATTTTTTTTCCAGAATTTTTGTTGCAAAATAATTTATAACATGATAATAAAATTTTCATTATATCTAAAGATTTTATTCAATTTAGAAATAACAAATTAAAAATTTTGTAAATAATTAGTATATATGCTTATGATTAAATATAATTAAATATAATATAAAATCTAAATATCATACATTATCTATTTGGTTGCACGCATGATTTAAAAAATAACATTATAAATATATATATATTTATAATTTCTCTATCATTTATAATCAAAAACGATGTAAAATTGTAAATACAAATATAGCTTCAAATTTTGTAAAATGATATTTATATACATATTAATTTATTTATATGTATATATAATTATGTATATATAATCATCTTTCATCGATATAGGAATACCCACCTGTTAATAATAAATCAAAATCGAAGCCCACTTCCCGAGTGATATCAACAGATGTTAGTCATGCAGACACAAAAACGGATACGATTAACTCCAGCAAACATTCTTCAGAGAAGAACAATCACGATGGCAATGCAGTAAATAGGACCTCCACGATGACGTAAGTGTTAAAAATAATTTAAAATCGATTTTTTATTTTAAACGAAAGTATTTAATTTTCAAAAGAATATAAAATTATATCTATTTTTCAATATATTATTTTTTAATTATTCATTAAACATATTTAAAGACCATAGAAATTATATTTTCATATTATTTTATATATTATTATTTGCGATTAAACAAAAATCATAAATTTTTCTTTTTAGTAATGGTACAAATGTTAAGCAAGAATCAAATCCATTTGAAGAAGAAGAATGGGATGAAGATAGTGGTGAACCATTGGTTGATAATGGAGAACCTGGAGTTCTTGTACGCGCGTTATATGATTATGAAGGAGCTGAAGCAGATGAACTTAGTTTTAAACAAGGTATGATAAAGAGTATTCTCTTATATTCATAATTATCATTATTTAATGTAATTATAAAATTATTTTAAATACCAAATAATATACATAATTTTGTTGTTGAGATATTTTTTTTGAGATTCTATTAATTGCATTAAATAGAAAATTAATTTATATAATTTTACATTTTCACAGGCGATGTATTTGATAAATTAGAAGACGAAGATGAACAAGGGTGGTGTAAAGGACGAAAAGATGGTAGAGTGGGTCTTTATCCTGCAAATTACGTAGAACTTGTGTCTCCGTAAAATTACCATGTAATGCCAAATTATATGAACATTGTTAGTTACTTAACACGTAACGCGTATGGAAAAAAAAGAATTTTTATTTTGTTGTTTATTTCTCTATGAAATAGCATGTTCGTTAAAAAGAAGAAAATTTGTAAATGTCGTTAAATAAGAATTACATGAGACTTTATATTAGAAATCGTTCATTTCGTGTATTATACATATAATGAGCGCTAAAAAAGATGAAAAAAGTTATACGATAAACCTTATGGTTCAAATTATAAGTGAATTTAAATTAAAATTCAAAAAAATTATTGTAAACATGAAAATGAAAATGCATATATTTACTTCATTCTACTTCTCGGTTCGATGTAGGGTCGATGCAATAAAACTTAAAACGAAACTTTTACTTTGACGAGTAATAGTTTTTCGTATATAGCTAGGATTTTCTATATCCATCTTTATAAATTAAATACGTGCTAAATAAGATGGATATGTACACCATGAATTATATTATAAGTTTAGATTTTTGAGGTAATGTACAATTATACATTTTTCGACATTATTAATATTGTTACTATGAAATATTTCGGCGAATGCGACGAAAAGTATATTTAATTTATTGTTATTCAAATGATACTATTAAAACCTATTCTTTCTGAATGGTATCATTGTATATAATAGATTTAAGAACGTAAACGATATGTAAAGTTACAATTGTTTAACGAAGTTGAGATTTTATGATGTTCAAAGTACATTAGTACGAAAAGTAAAAAAAAAAGCTTGAGAAATGTGTACATGAAATGTACCCAACAAATAAATTTGGGACCCAGAATTGTCCAATTTTTTCGTTTTTTTTCTAATAATTACAATGTTCTAATATTAAAAAAAAATTATTTATATATAAAAAATCAAAATATAATTAAAAATTATAATCTGAAAATATTTGCTTTTTGTACATAATTTCTTATATCAAGGCAATGTTGAATGATCGTTTATGAAAATGAAGTCATAATACCCTTTTTTTAATTAAACAAAAAATTTTATATAAAATTAAATGTACAGCATTGAAGGTATTTCATATAATCATTATTAATTTTTTAATAAATGTATCACAATTTCAGAAATATGGAAGTGAAAGCGCAAAATAAATTGAAAACAGTTAAATATGTTTTTTCATAATAAATTATTTGATAATTAATTAATTAAATTAAATATTCATCATTGATATCAATATATCTTTATGAATACATGCTTTCAAGAATTCTAATATAGAAATATTCTTTTTAAGTTAATATAAAGAACAATGTTGCAGAATAACTATGAAATCAAACAAATTATAGATTTAAATGATTGAAAATGAAGCATTTATTATAGTTTTCCATCTAATTAAAGAAATTTTAGAAATATTAAAGTTGGCATTAATAAAATCATTTGTTATTTAAATATCACAATTTTGCTAAGCGCTCAGAAGGATCAATTTCAACAAATCAAGTCAAATTTTCATAATATATAATGATAAATGCTAATTATTCGTCACGAATAAATAATGTGTTATTATACACAGTATTTATGTAAATATAGTAGAATATAATAACATTTACAATTCAGCCAGTGACTGATTTTTGTAATTGTTTATAATTAGTCCTCCAAATTATTTTCTGTAAAGAATGTTCGCGATTCCATAATATTGTTAAATAGACTATAGTTTGTGTATAAAATTTATTATGTATAACTTAATAAATGACATATGTACGAAATATTACATAATACATGATGCAGCGACTATTCTTACTTATAAATATTATAATGTATTGACATTACATTTCACAAACGCTAATTACATTCACAAAAATTTAGCATGAAAAATTTAATTGCGAAAATGACTTCAATAATAATCATGCTTTGACCAAAATAATTACAATGTAAAACCTTTCAATGAAAATTATTTAGAAGAAAAAAATTAATGTGTAATATTATATCATAAAAACATATATTTGCATACTCATCAAATTTCATATATTAAATTTCACTTAAAAAACAGGTTACAATTTATATTAATTGTTTCTTTAATCGATCCTATTTCTAATCAATTTCATTTGTTATTTATAATTTTCCATATTATGAGATTTTTTATATTAAGTCGCGTTCCCATTGCATCAGTACTAATCGATATTAATTGCCATTACAGAATAATTTAATCGATCGATTTTTTGTGCTATATTTCCATTTTATCGGTTAATTGATTAATCGTATTTAATAATTTAATAACAAATCTGACAATTCAATTACCCAATGTTGATTTCGGCGCGATTTTGGTATTTATCGACATCAGTCGGTAAATTGATTGGAATATCATTCGATTTTTCAAATCATATAATTCAAGTCGATGCACAAGTCAACACTTGTTGGCATTACTGAATGGTTTTATCGATTAAATGTTAACACAATGGAGACGCGACTTTATGGTCATATATATTATAAATATTGTTTATATATAAACAATCACTTTGTATTACGAACAATTTTTATTAAATATTATGTACACAAATTTTTAATACATTTATATTTATATATGAAATATTTAACATATATATATATAAATGAAATTTTTATAATTCTGAATATTGTATGTTAAAATAATTATCTTAATTCCTATATTTAATTTACAAATAATCATATTATTTACTATTTTCATAAATTTTCAATATTTAAAATTTTTATATTTGCAAATATAATATTATTATTAAAAATATTAAATGTCGTTTAAAAATCAAGTGCAATACAAATATTTCATAGATAATAAAATGGAAGCGAGTTATATATTATAATTTAAAGACTGATTTTAAATTCTTAATATATCTGAATATTATCATACATATTTATATTTACTATAATAAAAAATCATTTTAGTCATATTATAAATTATAAACTCAAGAATCATTGCACACAAAATTACACGAAAATATTTGGGTAGCTTATTAATATACAAAACGATCTTACAAAATTTGTATGTATTTAAAAAATAGTAATTACATTAGCGTTACCAGATCAAGGAAATAATGGGAAAAAGACGAATGATAATGGCAGGATAACGACGTTATTATTAATCACTCATACTTAAAGAGTGGCAGTAGGGGTACTAAAATATATATAGCATATTTTTTTGTGAGGGAATTCTTCCGGTAACGCTAAATTATATTAATGAGTTGCAACATGTTTTTGCAAGTCCTCAAGACTGGGAAATGGTTTATCACATAACTGACAAACATGTGCATTTCCATTATGTATATCTAAATGTTCTGATAAATCTTCTTCTGTGTCAAAAAGTTCATCACAAATCATACATTGATATTCACAAGCTTTTATTCCTTGTTTTTCCCATTCTGCTATTGCAGCTTCTTCTTCATGAGCTTGCATGTGCATTTCTAATAACATTTCTGAATTAAATGTTTCTGCACATTGTAGACATTGATAAGGTTCTTCATTTGACTTATCATTTTCATTAGCAATATTAATAAGATTAGGATTATCATCCTCTTCATCAAATAAATGTTTCTCAACATGTGCCTCTAGTGCTTCTTCAGAATCTAGTGAATCTCCACAAATTGCACATTGATATTGTTCTTTACCAGGGCTTTGATCATCCTCGCTTATATCATCACAATGTTTTTGTAAATGATCTTTCAATATTTCTTCATCTGTAAATATTTTATCACATACAAAACAAGTATATGTTTCTTTTGGTTTCTCTCCTGACACGAAATTTCCTCGATTTTTAGATATTCCAATTTTCTCTGACTGAGCATTGTTTATTTCTATTCTAGAATTATCTGATTTTATTAGATTATTTTCTATTTTTGAAAGTTGACTTTTTTCGGATTTTAAATGTACTGTTTCTTTAGAATTTTGTGATGTATTCGCATTTAATTTCTGAGTATCTCCTTTTGTTATATTTTCTATATTAAATTCAGATTGATCATGGCTTTCTAAATGGCGTACCAAAAGTTTTTCAGTTCGGAACGTCGAATTACATACATAACATTTGTGAATTTGTTGTTTTGATGATTTACATACATGAGCTTTTACAAATCTAGCTTCTACTATTTCATGGCATCTCTTACATCTCATCATTTTATGTTTATTATGTCGCGATATAGAAGTAGTTTCTGTTTTATGCATACGAACATGTGTTACCGCATCATTATGATTATCAAACGATTGTTCGCACACGCCGCAAATATGTTTCTCACCATGTGATGAAATTATTTTAAAAATATTTTCTTGAATTTCTATCTTATGTTCATTTTTAACAGCAATAGAATCCGCAACTTTTGGCTCTTTTATTTGTTTCATAATGTTAATTTGTTCTTTATCTTCTTGTAACTTTTGTGTATTATCTGGCTTAGAGGCTTCAGATGTCTCATCTGATAAATATGAATCAGAATCTAAAGCTGAAGTATTATAGTCATTATATCTTATTGGTGGTACACTTTGTCTTTTATGAGAAACCATACTAAATGGTCCGCCGAGTTTATTTTTAACTGTACGTTTAACTAAAACATGCATATTATTAATATTTCGTTGTATACTTTCTTTTGCTAAGTCTAAACGTTTTAATAGAACTTTCGGTTGATATTTTTTAGAATTCATAGCTTCTTTTACAAATGCTGGTGAAACTTTTCCAGACTGTTGGGAGTATAAATTAAAATCAGAACCACAACTTCTCATCATAGATGATTCAAAATTTTTCTTTATAGTTTTTTCTATAATATTTTTCAATTGTTGATCTAAAGTTTGATATGAAGTTTTACATCCTCCTTTATTCTTTTTTACATTATCATTATTTGTTCCAAATAATCTATGTTTCATTTCTTTCTCTACAAAACCTGCTAATTCAACTTGTACACGTTTTAATGCTTCTATTTCTGTTCCTTCCACTTCTATATTTAAACATCTCTCAATACATTTTTTATTATTAGCATCTATTGGAACTGGATTAATTCTACGAAGTTGTACAGCATCAATAATATCAGTATTTTTTTCTTGAGAATTTTGTTCAATAGTCCCATTTTGAAATTCCTTTGACAAAGTATTTAAATTTGCTTTATTTAAATAATGGGGTTCTGCAAGCATTAATGTAGAAGTAACAATATATGTAGCATCTCCAATTTGTAATTCTGATTTTACTGAACATGGTGTAAATGTATCTTCAATTATTTCTATTCCATTTTTTTCTGATGATTGTTTTTCGATAACTTTTTCTGGCAATAATACAGGAAGACTTTCTTTCTCTTTTAAATCTTCAGAAAATTTATCTTTTTTTACTTCAGTGCATTCTTTTATAGACATATTTTTACCTTCAGTTAATGAAACATCAGAATTAATATCTTTAAGAGATCTTGTTCTATGCGTATCAGAATCACTATCTATACTCATAAAATTATTTCTATCACTTTTAGTAGTATATTTATCTGTCATATTAGTTTCCAAATTTTTTAATACTCTAATCAATCTTTTTTGCTTCTCAATTTCTTTATCCATATTTGTTTTTGCTCTTGCTTTTTGCACCGGTGATAATTGTGTATCATCTGATGCCATAGAATCTGTATCTGAAACACTTTCTCCTGTTGCTGCAAGAAGTGCTTTTTTCCTTGCAACCCATCTTTTAGTTGATGCTTTTCTTCGTTCAGTTATATTGCGTCTTCCAGTTAATGGTTTAACTTTCATTGGAACTAATGTTGGTTTTAATTGAATTTTATCTTTATTTTCTTGTTTTTCATTATTTTTACATTTATCATCATTAGAAGCATCATGTGCCTTTTGTGAAGAATCCTTTGAAGATGTAACATCATCTTCAGATATATACATATCTTTGAGCATTGTTTGATTTGTTATGTTTTCATTATTTGTAAATTGTAAAGGAATCAATGCTGGTACATCTGTTTTTGATTTTTTCTGAAATAAATGTTTTTATGAAATTTTATGTTATTAATTAAAAAATTGAAAAATAATTGAAAAATTATATTAAAATTATTATTAATATTAAATAATGTTAAAATTATTATTATTTATACCTTATCAAAAGAATCAGAAAGACTATCATCTCCACTTTGTTCTAAATTATTACATGATCTTTTGGATTTAGAATTCTAAAAAACAATTAAAAAAATAATTAAAATTATAACAAAATTATGAAATATATATATGAATAAAGCTATAAGATATTATTGTGTATATATTATATAATAATAAATAATATTACATATATGTAAATATTATTTTACGTATGAATTATAATATATATATATATTCAATTATATAGAACTAAAAATTTAAAATTAAATTAATTGAATTTATTTTTATAGAATAGAAATTATTTTCTTTACAATAATTATCTCACCTCATTATCAGAAGTTTCTATAAGTTCTAATTGACTTAATAACATTTGATTTGATCGTATAAATTGTTCTTTAAATTCATCCCACATATCCAATTTGTAGAGGCATATATGACATATAACATTTGGTAAGCCATGCTCATCTTTAATCTAGAAAAAAAAAAATGTTCAATTAGAATAAAAAAAGCATATAATTAAAGTTAAAAAAGTGATATAAACATACATTGATAGAAGTACATTTACTTAAATCAGTTAGTCTTGATTGTATAACTTCGTCAAATAAATTAGTCATGCATGCATGATCAACGAGGCAAATACGGCATCTTTCTTTTATATTTGATAATTTACGTTTTCTCGACATTTTTCCACTTGTAGGAAAAGCAATTATGCGTATCGGTATTGATACCGAACACTGTGAATATGTTACGAATAAACTATGGCGGGTGCTATAACGATAGATCGATATATTCAATATTACCAGAATTATTTTTTTACAAAAAAATTTGTTATATTTCTATATTCCTATTGCAATTTTTTAATTACTTAAGTAATAAATAATGATAACATTATTTTTTTCCACTAAATTTATCCGATTTTATTCCATATATCGAAACAAAATTTATAGATATGTTCAAGTTATTACAATAAATTGCGCGAAAATTTATACGTAATAATATATTTTATTTTTTTAATTTCATAGATTTAATTCCAAATTCTTTTAATTGTTTTGAAAAATGATAAAAAAATAATTTTTTTGAAAAAATAGTTCAAAAAGAAAATAAATAAATTTTTGCATAAAAGAAAATGGATAAAATGGTTAAGGTGGATTTTCAAGAAAAACTGCTGTAACTATTAAAATACTTCATGTTTGTAAATCAAATTAAGTAGTCTGTATATTATATAGTTTATGTACATTTGATCTTAAATTTAAATTCTTAAATATTAAATTTCATGAAAATCATAATAAAAACAGTATTATATAATATTCAGTATCATTGTGTTTCTAATTCTTTTCTATTGTTTTGTCAAATACAAATTAGTACGCATGATCGAGATTTACATCGTTTACTACAGAAGTAGCTTCATAGGCTAATCGTTCAGTTTCCCTTTGAGCTGCAATTGCCGCATGTTCCTCGGCGATTTTTTGGTAAAGTTGAATATGTTTATCCTTTGCTTTCTCCACACTTGCAGAATCCTATAAAATAAATCAACAGGTGAAAACTATCATTTCATTAAATTATTTTTATCTAGCAATGAAAATAAATCTTATTTGAATCAAATCATATAAATTATATTTGTTCACAAAAGAAAGTTGTTAAAAGAAATGCATAAAGTTTGCGAATATTTTAATAAATAAATATAAAAATTCAAATTTTAAATAAATGATTTTTTGAAAAATTTTATTATGATCAGTTAAAAACAGTTATTCTAACCTAAAATAGTTTTCATTATCATTATTTCAAATTTCAAATATTGGCAATACCTAATATTTTTATTTTTATTATCATTTGAATCCTAAATTAAGAATCCATAGAAAAAAAAGTTATATATTCATTACTTGTGGAAGATTGATCGGAACACCATGAGCATTTGCTTCAGCTATCTTTTGATACAATCGAAAATGTTTTTCCTTCGCGAGTCTTACTGTTTCAGAATCGACAGGTTGAATAACTGTATCTTCATAATTTATTAAAGATGCATGAAATCCATTTTCATCGGCTATATATTGTACTGTTCGTATTTTATGTTTGGGATCGATAAAAGAATAAGAACCTAAAAAAATACATTAAAGGAATAATTTTTTTTAACTAGAAAAAAATTTTTTTAATTTTTTAAAATTCGATGTTGAACATTTAATAATTACCTTGAACATGTCCAGTACCATCTCCACTTTCTTGATGAACACGATCTATATTTCCAGGATATCGTCCTGCTTGATAATGAAAGCTATAAGGTTTAGGAAGCGATGGTGGAGTAGTCGTTGTAGATGATTCTGACAAAAGATGTGATATGTTCCCCAGACAAGGGCTAATCAGAATAAATGCGATCTGATTCGAAAGTGTAATCATTTAATTAGTTATATTTATTGATTTATTTTAAAATAATTTAATTGAATGTAAATTAATTAATACTATTTTATAATCACGTAATTGCTGTTTGAGACTATGTAGAGATCAATCTTTTAATAATAAAAGTGAAATTTATATATCAGAAACAAAGAATTAATAAACATATATAGATATCAGATGACGAGATTTTAAGTTAAATTCCAAACTGATTACGGAATCATCTGATCACATCATGCAATAGTATAATTTTACGAAAAAAAGAATTATTTTTCTTATTTTTTTTATTAATTATTATTATTATTATTATTTAAAGATCTTAAGCATTTAATATGTCACGAAAGATAAAAAAATTGCTTTAGTGAAATTATTTAATAATTTAATTACTTAAAATTGAAATAAAATATCAAAATTAAGATATATTGCTAAGGATGAAATAATGATTATATATATTATGATACATTAAAATATATATATTAAATATTATGAAATTACAATAAAATTATGATGCACTTACCATTAAATTCTCCATCTTTACAACTGTGACACTTCGTGTAGATACTTTCGTTTTCACGAATCGATATAAACTGAAAGAGTTTGCCAGTGAAAGTAATATAAGAAACTGACGAAAAGATAGAAGCAATATGTATTATTTTCTGTTTTAATATTGGATACTTTTTCGAACGTAGTAAGTATTCCTTTATAATAAAATAATTATAAATGAATTTCTATCATTAAAGAATTAAAAATATAGTAACATAAAATATAAAAGAAAAAAAAATATTTATGCATAAATGATTTATTTATTCATTATTTAAAATTTTTCTGGAATACAATACAATCAAATTTAAAAAATTTGTTTAAAATAAAAAAAAATATCAATTTAATCATTAAGATTTATGCAATTGAAAATTTAATCAATATCGAGTTTCTTGAAAGTTCCTTCAACACCAAAAAGATCAATTGCTGTTTTTCCTTTACCCATTCTCAGGGATTCGTTAACGACTTTCGTTTCTTCTTGTAAGAACCAGTCACGATTCTCCTCAAGCATTTTAATTGTTTTTTTGTGAAATTCCATTAGAGGACCAGCTTTTCCACCAATCTCATTTGGTAATATATCTATAGGTATAAATTTCGACAATGTATCTAAAGTTGTATGTGTATGAAGCTAGAAGAAATTTTTAAATTATTTAAATTGTTAAAACACTCAAAATTAATTAGAATATTAAAGTAGTATATATTACCATATCTAATAATTCCTTTTTCATGAATGGTTTCATCATATTTAATATTACATCCATTACTGATGTAATGTTCATAAAATGAAATCCTTTCAAACGAACTGGTAATGCTTCCTGTAAATAGATAAGATACTTTTTTAATCCTACAGGATTTAGTCGAGCAGCATGTCCGAAAACAACATTCTTCATATCGAATAAAATTATATGTCCATTTGTTGTGCCTTCTCTATGAAGCCACAGATCAAGAGTCATGCTCAGATATTTCATTGTATCATTATAAACATAATTTGAAGGATCAGGATCGATTAATCTTCCATAAAGAATTGCATATCCTTCTGGCGTTTTATTTTCTAAAACTTGAATAGTCCTAAAACGAATTTTGTAAAATATAAATATTAATATATTATAAAAATTAAAAATAAAGATATATTTCAAAAAAATAATATTTTCATTTTAAAAAAAGAGGTAATAATTTAATAAGATAACGTTTATTTCTAAAAGATAAGTAATACATTTTATCTACATATAAACGATAATTGAAATATGGAAATTAAAAATAATTATGAAAATTAATATATGAATATAATTCTATTAAGATTAATTTCTTATAAAACTGTTCTTAAAAATTGAATTTTTCAATATCTTTTAATTCTTTTTAAAAAGATATAATATTCTTTTTTAGGCATTATCACATTTAATATTAATTTTTATATGTAAATATATTTAATTATTTTTTTAAATATTTCAGAAATAATGAAGACAAAAGTTAAATAAATAATTAAATAATTTACAAATAGAAGAACTTACACAGTTTGAAAAGATTTCCTTAATTCCTTTGATCCCAAAGGATCTCTATTAGAGAAAAATTCAGGGACATGGGTTTTTATAGTGAAATATGTATCAATAGTTGTCTTTGTGGCTTCTATTTTATAATAATTACTGTGTAAAAATAACGCCAACTCTGAATCTGTTATTTGTGGTAAATGAGGTTGTTTCTTATACCATTCTTTTAATATTTGTATGTCTTCATTTTTCAATTCTGGATTTTTTTTCAATTCTTCTTCGTATGATATTCCTTGAAATGTGTCCATGTTTGCATACGAGTTTCTTAAAAACATATATATAATTTTTTAAGTACATAAAAACATTTAACGATTGTTTTATCATTATTTTAATAATGAAAAAAAATTTTAAAAACAAAAAAGATTAATTATTAATTATTATAAAATTAATTATTATAAAGATTAATTATTATAAAAAATTTTATAATAATAGTTACTTTATAATAATAGTTAAATTTTATAATACAAATCACAATTTCAGATATAATTGAATAATAGGAATATAATTTTTTTAATAATAAACTAATAATAAAACATTCAAGATATTTGCGTTTTAAATCATTATTTCAATTAAATTTAATGAAAATAATTTATTTATTGATATATATTTATTTCATTTTTAGAAATGAATTTATATTATTAAATTTTTACAGAAATCACGCTTGGATTTATCAAACAATTTAAATAATATATGTGTATAACAGAAGTAAAGCACTTACTATATGATAGAAGGAAAATCTTTGTTTTGTAGAGATCACGTTGATGGTTTGAATAATACTGACTATCATTCAAGTACAATCGAGCAATGAAATGAGTTAGCATATAATCGCAAATAGCATGATAGTTGCAAGGTTGTCAGATTTATAAATGTTAATTTATAATATATTTATCTTTGAATCATATGAAAATTTTATTATAAAGTAATTATAAAGTATTTAATTATATTTAATTATAAAGTATAAAATATATAAAATATATATATATATATATGTATATTATTTATAGTATTAAAAAAATCTATGAAAACAAATGTATTTATATAAAAAAAAGTTATTAATACAAAATATTTAATAACAAATCTTGATATTAAATTAAAATAAATGCAATATATATGTTTCTTCTTTATTTTAACTAGCAAACATATAAATTGCAATTATCTTTCAAATAATCTTTTAAACAAATTTAAATAATCGAGTTTTTATAACAATTAGTTTTTGGTTTCATAAACAAATTTATTATTATTACATATAAATTTTTAAGTATTAATCCAAAATACAATTTCTTTTTTTTTTTTAGAACAATTTCCCATCTAATGATTTATTTTTCAAATCCACTTTTAAAGAAATTTATAGATTTTAAATTATATATAAAAATAATGGATTTTTTTTCTAATTTCACTATCTTTCTAATTTCAATATTTTAAGAAACTCTTTCCATTTAAAAATTTAGGTAAGAATAGAATATAGTATTAATTTTTTTTTAATTAAATTATTATATGTACATGAAATATTCATATCATTCGCAATCTTATTTTTTCCAATACACAATGATGAATGAAATTATAGTAGATAATTTCACCTCTTCGAGCACTATAATTTTAATATTGGAAATGTATTTTTCAGTAAAAATAATAAATATTATTTCTCATTATTAAAATTTAAATATCATTGAAAAATTACAAGATTCAAATTACATGATAAAGAAGAAAAATTTAGTTCAAGTCATTGTGAATAAGAACTTGAAATTATATAAAATTATAAGTTTTGAAATACCTTGGACTTTGTATTCCTATATTACAATGTAAAGTAAATTTCCCGGATACATTATTTAGAATATATTTTTTAATAAAATTTTACACAACAAATAATTTATTACATTTATATTACAACGAGTTATCCATTTAAGAATGAGGAAATTTTTCAAAAATTAACAAATTATCTAATAATTTCATCAATTAAAATTAAAAAATTTTATGAAATTATATTTTATGATAATTAATATGATATTAGTCTTAATATGAAGTAATTAATATTTAATAATATAATTACAAATCATAAGATTAAAATATGTTATTATTTTTTTTCAGCATACATTTACAATTATTCTGTTTGATTAAAAATATTAAATATCAATAGAAATTTTTATTAATAAGATTATTATAAAATGTATATAATAATTTTATTTTAGATTATTTTACATATTATGCAATGTTATCATTTGCTATACAATTAAAAAAATATTATAATAAATCTTTATTATCCGTAAAGTAAGAAAAAAATAAATCTTCTAAAAAATAAAAAATACACACAATTTTCTCTTTCCTTTCTTAATCTATTTCGAGCTTCTTGAAAGTTCCCTCGACACCGAAAAAATCATTTGCAATCTTATTTTTTCCAATACGCAATGATTCATCTACAGTAGATAATTTCACCTCTTCGATAAACCATTCTCGTTTATCGTCGATTTCTTTTATCTCATTTTCGTGCATTTGAATTATCGATCCTGCTTTTCCTCCGATTTCATTAGGAAGAAGATCGAGAGAAACAAATTCTTCCAATGTTTTTAACGATGAATGTAAATGTATCTAAAAAAGAAATTAATAAAATATTATCTATTTTACCTAAAATTATTGAACAAGTAATTGAGATAAATAGTAAAATTAACAATAATCAAAATATTTCATATGTGCAATATAATATTTAATTGTAATATGTGCAATATAATATTTAATTATAAATTTGACAGAAAAAATATATTACTCTATAGATTGGGAAATTATCATTTTACTTAAAGTTTAATGTAAATAAGTAAATTATTTCTTACGTAAGATACGTGTGTAGACAAATAAAATTATTCTTTAGAGAGATGTCTCTTGATTATATGTTAATCTCATCATTGCAAATATAAATTGCAATGATGGAATCGGTATATTCATTACAAATGCAAATTACAAATATACATTAAATAAAAAATGAAAGAAAATAAAATAGAAATCGATATATGATTTATGCTAAAATTGATAAGTATACAAAAGTCTCTATTTTATTTTACATTATTTTACAAAAAAATTCATTTAACCCGAAAATCAGATTTTAATGAAAGTTTATGTAAGTTTATGTATATTATGTATATTATAAGTTTGTGTATATGTATATACACAATATGTATTTTTAATTTTTATGATTAATTTTTATTTAAATAATAAAAAATTTATGATTATTTTTTTATTATTTCAACTGATATTCTGTTAATTAAAATTATTCCATGGAATTCATATGGAATTAATGTAATTATTATGCTTTATTGATAATTTCATATAAAACGGAATTGTACGTATTGTTCAATAATATAATTGATTTCCCATGAGATATAAAGACTTATATAAGTAATTATTAAACATATTTTAATTATTAATATTTTTATAAATTGAAAATTACATTAAAACTACTAATTTATGATATCTAAGAATCTATTTTATAGATAAAATAGATAAAATAGATATAATAAATATATTATAATAATGAAAATAAACAATTATGTAATTATATATATTTTCATAATAATGTATAAGATCTAATTATTTTAGTATTTAAATTGAAATATTTTATTTAAAAACAATAGTAAAAATGTGTAAAAAAAAGTTTCAATTTGTTTTCTATGTATGTAAAATTTCAAAATCTCTTACCATATTCCAAAATTCCTTTTTCATGAATGGCTTCGCCATATTTATTATCACATCCATTACCGATGGAGTATTGATAAAATGTATTCCTTTGAGTCGAACAGGTATTCCTTCTTGGATGTACATCACCAACTTCTTCATGCCCATAGGACTTATTCGCCCAACGTGGCCCAAAGACACATTAGTTGAATCTCCAATAAAAATATACCCATCGCAAATACCATTTCTCAAACCAATTAAATCACTTCCCATAAAGAAATATTTGCAACTATCTTCGAAAGAATAATGTGATGGATCGGTATCTATTAATTTCGCGAAAAGTATCTTGTGCCCTTGTTTCGAGAGTCCAGGCAATTCAGTCGCGAATCTATATTGCAGTAAAAAATTAAATTTATTTTTCCGCAATGAAAAAAACCATACGAATGATAATCGATAATAATGAACAAAAGAATATATAAAGAAGAAGTAAAACTCACACGACATTGAATATCTGACGCAATTCTTTCGATCCTAATGGATCTCTGTTTGCAAAAAATTCAGGAACATGGGATCTAATGGTGAAGAAATTCTCTATAGTATTTTTAGCCGCTTCTATACTATAATAATTACTGTGTAAGAACATAATTAAATGTAGATCTGACGGTTTAGGCAAATGTTGTTGCTTTTCACACCATTCCCTCAACATCTCGATATCTGATATCTTTAATTCCGGATTCTTTTTCAATTCTTCTTCCATTGAAAAAGGATAAGGCACAGGAATTATCTTCTTCGTAGTCATGTTTCACACTGCAAACAAGTTGGACTGTAAACAGATGAATTAAAAAAACAAATTCTGCTGAATGAGAAAGAAATAAGAGTTTTTGTCGCGTTGCGGCGATTATTATTAGAAAATCCTTGAATCATAAAAAATTTATTAAGCTTTGCTCACTGAATCACGATAACTGTAGCACTATCGTATTAATTCCACCGATACACATTTAGAATATTACCGATTGATGAAATTAGCAGAAATAGCGTTGTCCTTGTGAATATCAATTCAAGATAAGGCAAAAGAGTAACACTGATCGCCAAGAGAATTGGTTTAATGTCTCAACGAAGAGTGAAAGAAACTGTGAACGTCTTGATTTTTAATTCATAGCACAAATTAATTGGACTCGAATTCGTAACGTGTTATGAAGCAACAGCACTAGGTCAGGTGTAGAAAACGTGTTCATTTCCGATTAAAAAGTAGCATATTTTCTCCCTATATTTTTTCTCCGGATTTGTACAAGCACGGAAGAAGTAGATAATTACTGTAACCATCAAACCATATATTAGATAGACGTTCTCAATCATTTTGTTTATATACACTAAAGAAGATTTTGAAAGAAAATTAAAAGACATTAAAAATAACATCCTGTTTTATTAGAAGAATCTTTTTATTAAAAAATACAATAGTTGAATTTTTATAAAAATTGAAATAATAATAATAAATGACAACAATTGTATTAAAAAATTGTTAATTGTTCTTTTAAAAATTATAATGGATACTTATTTTAACTTACTTTACTTTAAGTATGCAGTTTCTGAGGATTTTAAATATAATATATTTCCTGTCATTAAGATTCGTCGATATCACCAGATTGTTAATTAATTTTCATAAGGGAACATGAACAAAAGAATTATGAAAGCATTCATCGGAATGAAAGAGGTCGGCGACGCAAAAGAATCGCGACGCTTTCTAATTTAATCATTTTCTGATCTAATTCCTTGATGTTCCGCTTTGGAAGCGGACATCCTGATGACTATAAAATTCTTAATAATCCATATTTAATTAGAAGATTATAATATATAATAATATAATTAAAAATTAATTATAAAAACAATAATTATATTAATTTTTCGAATAGGATTTTACAAAATAAAATTTTTAATTAAATTTATATTTATTTTTAAAGCAAAAAAAATAATTTTCCTTGCACGAAAAACTGTGCATTGACTTTAATATAAAATAAGTATAATATATTAAAAATAATAAATTTTGCATATGTGTATAAATTTTATATATTATAGTTATATACTTATTATGATTTGAAAAACATTTCATTAGATAACAGCATATATGATATTAATGAAATATCCAATTTTTTTTAATTTACGTAATGCATTATACTATATGTTGCAAATTAATATTATGATAATATATATACAATAATTTAATAATAATAATTTATACAAAAATTTTATTATTTTTTTAATTTATTAATTTTTCTTGTAAATAATATAATGAGTTCATCTTATATTTTTATATTATTTTATATTATATTAAATATCTATATATATTATTCTAAATATGAAATAAAAATATTAATTTAACATTTGTTTTTTAGTCTAAAAGATCTTTGATTTCTTATAACAAAATGCATTTTTTCGTTCCTTAAATGGCCATAGAAAACAATGGCGCTGTTGTCGCTACAATGTATTTGATTACAATTTACTTACCTGTGATTTTGTGACATAAGCTTCGATATGTATACGAAAACTTTCAGAGTAAGGAATTGTGAAAAAATTTCTGGTAAGGATTGTATAAATTTTATAATTGGATTCAAATATATTTCATCTGTTTTTTAATAAAAAAGATAGTGTTTTATAATCATTGTGGTCGAAAATAATCGACTATTACGAATTAATGTACTATGAACCGTTTGGATGATCCTCCGAGTCTCATGAAAGGCAGAAAACCATCTTTCATTGGAATGAACGGTATTTTTTATATATATAATATATAAATTATATTTTCATAATTCTTAAAACTTTTAAGATTGTTTTTGTAAACAAATCAATTGTATATTATTTCTTTTTTATTCATATTAATGTGTATATTATTACATGCGACATTTTATACAAAACTTAATTTTGTTAATTTATTGAATTAAAAGAGTATTATTTTTTCTTTCTTAATTTATATTTTCACAAATATATTTATATACTTCGTTTTTCGCTACTGGATTTATTGTATTACTTGTATCTTTTAAATTGTTTTTTTATATCGACAAATATATGAATTTTATTATTATCATATCTATTATTTTAATTTTATTTAAAATTATATATGTATGATAAAATTAAATATTTTACAATATAATTATAAATTATACGTGCTTGTTGTTCCTTAACAAGTTTTAGGTTAGATTATATTTGTAGAGTTTTCTATTTCTCTTACATATTTTATTGTTTCTCTTATGTAAAAAATAATTCAATCTAAAAATTATATTGAAAATTATATGATAATTTTTACTATATTTTTTGTTTAATGCATTTGTTTTTAGGGGGTCCAGAAACAGATGATCAACAACGTTTAAGATTTCAAGTTGAATTAGAATTTGTTCAATGTCTTGCAAATCCAAACTATTTAAATTGTATGTTAGATAATAATTAAAATATTTTGTAATTTATTAAGAAAATATTTATAATTATTATTTTAGTTTTAGCACAACGTGGTTACTTTAAAGATTCAACATTTATAAATTACCTTAAATATTTGTTATATTGGAAAGAGCCAGAATATGCAAAATATTTGAAATATCCTATGTGTTTATACTTTTTAGATTTATTACAATATGAACATTTTAGAAGAGAAGTAGTAAATTCTCAATGTACAAAGTTTATAGATGATCAACAAATTTTATTATGGCAACATTATACCAGACGTAGAACAAGATTGTTACAGACTGCTGCAGAACAAACGCAACATACAAATCCTCAAAATAATGGTATTGTACAACCTAAAGTTCCTTGAGTAATATATGACAAACTCATTAAACTATTAAATGGGTCCATAAGAACTACAATATTAAAATGGCATTACGCAATAATGTCTATAACTGTAGTTCCTTATCAGAATTGTTTTAGTTATGTTTTTTGGCTGTGATAAATCACAAATAAAGTACTTTTCTATGTTCTCAATATATCTCTGATTACATTTCTCCCTTTTTTCCTTCTATCTCTTGTTTATATTAATGTGTTTATTTATTTATGTTAATATGTATAATATAAAATATGGAATGATGACATGAAATATATTAAAATAATTATTTAAAAAAATTCATTATATAAGTAACAAAATACTAATTTAATTAAAATAAATGAATAATATAAAAATTCCAATATCTAATAAATATTAAACTTAAAGAAATATATTATTTTAAATATTATGTGGAAACAATCTGAAATAAAGACACTCCAATTGTAGAATCTGATTTTGGACGAATGATGCTGAAACCTGAATAGCTGTTAACGCATAAGTGTTTGTGACTTTATGCTTCAAGACTGTGGAAGAAAATTGAAGACATGGATAAAAATGCAAATTTGAATGATCTTAGTAAGTCCATTTATAATATTCATTTATAAAATTTA